AAAAAAAAAAGAATTGATTAATTTGAATTGTGTTGGGGAAGAATATTGACTATATCATGGAATGCCAGGAGAATGAACAAGTTTAAAAAAAAAAGAAAAAAAAAAGAGTGGTCCTTGCTGATTATTTTCTTTAAAAACTGGCTAGATTAAAGGTTGTCCTCATAATGAAACTCCTCTCCCTCACCCTGCATTCTAGAGCCTGGTCTGGAGTGTGGGGGTGGGTGCTGAGTGAGATGGCTGCTGCAGGAATCACACAGTAGATGTACTTTTGTGTAGATACCAGCTTTCATGTGTGTCTCCTTGGAGACAAGACTGAGAATTGATCATAGGTTTAAACATGTTCCTGTTCCCAGTTGTGTTTTCCTGGTGCACCAGCAGGTTTTATTAAATTGCCAACTGAACTTTACCCTCCTGTGCCCAAAGTGAGGTGTGTGATTCTGTAGTTATTTTGTGGAGTGTGGAATAACTAGTATTATTAATAGCTTTAATGTAACATGTGGTTTCATGTTTTTCCTTTGTCTTATCATATATTAAAACACATTGTAGAACTGTGTATGAACAAACAGAATAATTAAGCAGGGTAAAAGTCCAGAATGTGACCTAGATACGTATGGGGATTTAGTTTCTATTCAAACAGTAGGGGAAATAGAGATTTTTCAAACTGTCCAGGAGGAAAATAAAGTTACGTGGTACCATAGCTCAGTATTTCTACTAGGATGACTAGCAAATGAATCAAAGATTTAAATGTAAAAAAAGGAACTAAAAGAATGACTAACAGAATCTATGGGTTAATTTTCTTCCAGAAACATGAAGAAAGGAAGAGTTTTAAAATTTTGACTTAAAATTCAGAAAAGATGAAATAATATAAGATAGTGATTTTGCAGTGGTTAAATTTAAAACTTCATGTTTGGCAGAAACACCATAAGTAAGGTAAAAAGCCAAATGGAAGAATGAGGAAAATACTTTCAGACAGAGAACTAATTTCCCTAATATATGAAGAGCTTCCATAAATCAATAAGGACAGGTCCAGTAATCCAGTGGAGAATTGGACAAAAGATGTGAATAGATTATTCCTGGTACTGGAAGTACAGATAATTTTTAAATGGAGGAAAGAATACTCAGCCTTACTCTTAATAAGAAAAAGCAAGACAAAATTATTTTAGGTAACATTTGTCTCCTATCCCTGGCAAATGTAAGTAGACCTACTAAGACAACAGGTAGAGTGTTGGGAAAAAGGCAGTCTTGTACTCTGCTGCCACTGGTATAAATTGCCCTCTCTGGAGGACAGTTTTTTTTTTTTTAATTAGGATTTGGGTGAAGATTTACAGAGTAAATTCACTTTTCATACAGCAGTTCACATATACTTTGTCTCATGTCATTGACCAAAATTTACAATGCAGCAGCTCCCCTCCCACTTCCTCCCCATAGTTACCTCCTCCCAGTGTCCATCCCTTCATACTCTTATGCACCCTGAGCTATCTCCCTGTGCATAAGCAGCCCCTTCCTTCTCCCATGATTGTTCTCTCTGGAGGACAGTTTTACAATATCTGTGAAAATTATAAATGTCCTTTGAGCCAGCAGTTCTACCTCTAATAATTTATTCTGTAGAAATATTCACACACATTTGAAAAGACTGTGTTCAAGATTACATTTGTAGCACCATTGCTTGTAATTGGAAAAAAAAAGTAAACAATCAGATAGTCTCAATAGGAAACTAGTTAAATTGGTTATGGTGCATACATACAATTGAGTACTCTGAGCCATAAAAATGAATGAAGAATTACTTTAAGAACTGGTAAAGAATGTTCTCTAGCATTTTTTACATGTAAAAAAGCAGAATGTAAAACAGTGTTTATAATGTGCTATCTACCATTTGTATCAAAGGGTAAGATGGAGATATGAATATATGTAAAATTTTTTCTGTATGTGTGTGGGTTATTTTTGGAGGGGTACAGAGAAACTAATAACACTGCCTACAGAAGGGCAACTAGGTGGGGGCTAGGAGTGGGAGGGAGACCTTTCACACAGTGTACCTTTTGCAGCCTTTGACTTGGGAACTACATGAATATTCAAAAAAAAATTTTTTTAAAGTATTTAAAAAATATTTTTGGGTTTTGCATGCAGGTCATATGATATTAGGGTTTTGAAGAGATAGTGCTTTTACATTTCCCTTTCTAAGTACTGTGACTAATGCTAATGAGTTTGATGATGATTGCTAACATTTATCCTAACTACCCTATGTAATAGGCACACACATTATCAAATGAGGTAATTGAGTCACAGGAAGACTATGTAACTTGCCCATTAATAATATAAACACACATCTCTGGTGGTGTAGTGCCTAAAGCATTTGACTGCTAACCAGAAGGCTAGCAGTTCAAACCTACCACTTACTCCTTGGAGGGAAGATTGGGCAACCTACTTCCGTAAAGATGCTGTCTTGGAAACCCAAGGACAGGTCACTAGGAGTCGGAAATGACTCGAGGGCAGTGAGTTTGGTTTTGGTTTTGGTTTTACAGCTAGTAAGCAGCAGAGCTGGGACTTGAACCCAGGAAGCCTGCCTCCTAAGTCTGCATTATAAATTGTAGAAACAAGTAAAATCTTTAAACAAATCAGCATACATGGCATTTCTTATTTCATTTACTGTATATTAAGGATGTTTCTTCACCTCTTCTTTCTCTTTCTTCAGATTTATCCAAACATTTAGTCCAAAATTATGGTGACGTAGAAGAACTTATGGATGCAGGAAATATCAATCGGACGACAGCAGCGACTGGGATGAATGACGTCAGCAGCCGGTCTCATGCTATCTTCACCATCAAGTTCACTCAGGTAAGAGCAGTTTGACTGATCCCTGAGGCCTCTGCTTGCTGATTAAGTTTGGCTGAGGACCACTGATCATTGTTGAACCAGAAGCAGAGGTAGGGAGAGGAATCTGACCGTCATTTTCTGTTCATTCGTGTTGAACATGTGCTGTGTGCTAAGTTTCTCTATGGTTATGGTCACAGTAATTTGAAATATTCTGATCTGTATTCTTAAGAAATATGTAGCAGGCTTCCACCCCATTCTAGACATTTAAAAAAGAAAAAAAAGTGCTCTGTGCTTAATTAAGCACAAGTTTTCATTGTTGCAAACTCTGTGGGAAATAATGGATTTAGAGTCAGACCAGCTGGAGGCCAACGTGAATAACTCGTTGCAGTATATTATCACTCCATGGAACTTACCCCACAATGTTGATTATGATTATTAGAAAGATATTAAGGGAACATGAACATTTATAAGTGCTAATACAGGAATTCATTATAATCAGGAGAAGGAGAGCATCTTGAATTTGTGTTGAAATTATTGAGGACATTTGACTGCTAACTAGAAGCCTGGTGGTTCAAACCCACCAGCCATTCCTTGGAAGGAAGATTGGGTAAACTACTTCTGTAGACATACCACCTCAGAAACCCAAGGAGCAGTCACTATGAGTTGACTTGACTCGACGGCAGTGAGTTTGTTTTTTGTTTGAGACAGTAGGACAGGTGAACAGAAATTTAGGGTCTATTTAGGGCTTAACATATACGCTAGGGCCTTAGGGCTTCCTAATCTGTGTCAATGATTGAACACATCAGATACATGTCACCTCTTTGCAGAAAACAACATTTACTTGTTAGGGGGATCAGAGAGCAAAGAAAATGGAAGATTCTCTGTGTATCAATCAGAACAATTCCTATTAAGCTCTCTATGACTCTACCTTTGTACACCCTTGCTTTTGATTTACTATAGTTTACTGGATTTTCTTCCCTTTTTGGGTTAAAAATTCCTGTGGCTAAGAGGTTTACATTTCTATCAGAATTTTCTAATTCTGTTGGACATTTTAATCTAGTGTGTAAAACATAGGCTATCAAGC